CTGAAGCGTTTTCCCTAGCGGTACCCGTAGCACCAGCAGGGTGCTCCCTGGAGTGGCGCCGCCATGGCGGGGCATAAGGAACCCTGCCGGTGCTCCCCCACCTCAGTTCCTTCTTACCGCTCGTGACGGTCATTGGAGCGTGTCTCTCTGTTAGTTCAGTTAATGGTTCCCGTTTCTCTTAGCATTGTAGATAGTTATAAATAGTTCAATTAGTTAAATAGTTAGTGTCTCTCTTTTTTCTTCTCCCCCTTCGGGGGTGAGGAATGCCAGAGCTGCAAGGCTTTAAGGTGTGCGCTGTCTGCGCAAAGTTTATGCCCAAAGGAGAGCCTCATGACAGTTGTCTGAAGTGTCTGGGTAAGGGCCATCTTACAGACGCCTGTAAGATCTGCAAGTCGTTTAAGCTGCTCACTAAGAGGGAGAGAGACTCTCGTCTAAAACTTCTCCTCATCGAGGCGGCTTTACAGCCAGCTTCGGCTGGACACTCTGCGGTGCACAGTGCACCAATGTCCACGCGCGATGCCCCATCTCGAGACTGGGCCTCAGGGCCGAGGGTTTGGCACCGGTCTTATTCCCCGGCACCGAAGAGGTCAAGAACGTCCCGTGGTAGGTCTCCAAGCCGGAAGTCCAAGTCGGGCCTACACCGCAGTGCCGAGTCTCTGATGCGCACGTCCTCATCCACCATGGTGCCCCTCTACGCCGGACACTTTTGAGGCAGCGCATGATTTATTAGCCTCACTACCTCCCCTCTGTCGTCGGTTGAGGTGGAGAGGTCGAGGTTGCCTAGGCCAGAGGCTGTGTTGGCACCAGCTTCACCTCGGCACCGGTCGCTTATGCAGCGGGACCGTCCCCTGTGGGACCAGTACCGCTTTCCTCCATATCGGTGCCGGTCTTGACGCAGGCCGCCAGGCTTCACTCAGTGCTCGAATGGAGTCTACCTCCCTCGGTGCTGGGACCTCTTCCAGACCCCGTCTTGGCTGCTCCGGTGCCGTATCACCGTCTACGGCACCATCATCAGTACCAGCACTGAGCAGCTATCCTGGGGTGCCATTCCAGTCATCGGCTCCAGACCCTTCAGCATCAGCCTCTTCAGCACCAATGCAAGTTTCTGCACCGTTACAGGTACTGGCATCAACCCTGTGGGTCATGCCGGTGCCGCCATCGCTGATGATGTCGGCCTCTTCGGGATTCGTCTCGCAACCAATTCTGACTTTGGCACCGCAGCCATGTTCCGGGTCGGCACTGGCACCGGGACCTGTCCTCCCGGTTCCGCAACCGGCTCCACTCCAGACACTGGGATCTGTCCTCCCGGCACCGGCTCCACTCCCGGCACCGCGACCTGTCCTCCCGGTGCCACTACAGGCACCGCTAACAGCACCGGCACCCCCGGTGCCGGCACGCTCTCATCGCGCACACACGGGCAAACCCGAGTCTATGGCCAGGTTTGCTCCCCCATTGGTGGCAGGGCATTCGTCATCTGTGCCTCCCTGGCCTGAGTCTGACTACTCGTCGGATTCTGATGTGGCCTCGTTCAGGTCGGAATCCTCGGAAGCTTCCTCACGTCATAGATCCCGTTTCCGGCACCGGTGTGATTGTTTGCGTCCACCGGCATGATCATTCGCGGGTGTAGCAGACTTGGCCGCCTCAACTGCAATGGCCTTTCTGGACGCTGTGGGCTTACCACCAGAGGCAGGGGCCTGTGCCGTCCTCTGTGGTGTCCGGTGTCTTGGGGCACCATGCGCAACCGTCGGCGTCGCTGTCACGACATCCTCCTTCTCCCCAGAGGTCGGTTGCTACAGATGCCGCTGCTGAGCCACAGGCCTCGGTGCCGGAGCCGCTTCCGCAAACAGTGCTGCCTGCCCAGCCGGCTCTTCAACCGGATCCTATGCTGGATCCGGTACCTGTCCAGGAGTTGTCATCATCATTGTCTCATGATGAAGCCTTGGCGGATCGCGCACCGGCGCTGCCTACGATGGATGCTTGAGCGCATCAGTATCTGCTTAGGCGTCTGGCCTCCAATCTGGGTGTCCCAGTGGAGCCAGTAGTGGAGGACACGGATCCCATGATTGACATCCTCTCGGATGATGCACCCACCCGCTTGGCTTTGCCACTTAATAAAACCGTGGCCAAGATTACTAATGCCCTGTTGCAGACCCCGGCGACCCTGACCCCGGCTAGTTTTTCTAGCAGTATCTGGTCAGGCTGCACATGCGTGGCAGGCAGTGTGTGCTATTTGTGCCTTTGCAATTCACGCGCACAGCCTGCCTTGCCTCAGTTTCTTCGCGTATGCCCAATTGGCCCAGGTATAGTCTGAAGAGGAAAGGAAGGGTGGGTCATGGAGCACCCACTGTTGTTACTGGAAAAGGTGAGCAACTTCCTTTTCCTCTTTGAGTGACGTCTCTGGGGAGCTCCACTGTTGGTGATTACATAGTGGCATTTGGATAGATGGTAGTTGAGCTTTGGATTTAATGTTTATAAGCAGTGGAGAATACTGCATTAGCAAATGAAGGGTCCATCTCCATTTGCGTCAACATCACATAATGTCTCAGAGTGGTTTGATGACCATATGGCTGCACAACAGATGTCCTGACGTGACACCCCCTTAAGAAAGGCTGCTGATGTAGAGAGACTGCTTGTGTGGAATGCACACTGGGTGGCATAGGGAGTACTTTATTTTGTAGGGGCAAGCAGTGGACAATGCATGATACTATAATTCTGGAAATCCGCTGAGATGAAAGTGGCGTTCCTTAAGAACGATCAGCAATTGAAACGAACAATGTCTGATTTACAGAAGGTCCGCATCCAATCAATATAGAAAGAAAACGCTCTCCGAATGTCCAAGATACATAGAATAGCATCATCTCATGACGCATGAAGCTTGGATAAAATGTGGGGAGAACAACAGGTTCATTGTTGGTAAGGGTAAGGGTCTAGCTGACTTCAAACGTGCCTTCTTGGTGCTGAAGTTTTGGTAGGCACCTATGGTATGGGTGGTCCTGAGGGTTTGTCTGGTTTCTGGACTTTGCCTCCAATTGGACCAAAGACAGCCAATGCCAGGGTCTGCATGTGCCATGATTTTGGTTCCACAATTGATGCGGCACGGGAGCACCTGGTGCCAGATATGCCCCGTTTATCTTCTGTACTGATTCTGGGAGGTAGGGAACAGACTGCAGAGACCTCTCTCTTCATGAACAGCTTTGATTAAGGCGAGTTTGCCAGTCTCTTTTGTGAACTAGCAGACTCAGACTGGCTGCTACCATATTAGGGTCCTGGAGGTCCAGAGCCTTATCGAAGGGCAACATGCAGAGATGCTCCCTGTCCCTGCATGCTCTGGCCATGAGGTTATAGCAGTGGATGCATTTCCGGGGAACATGTGTCTCTCCCAGGCATCAAATGCAGGAAGAATGGCCGTCCAAGGCCAGCATAGGGTTGTGACATTTGTCGCATTTCTTACATACAGGGAAACCTGGCCTTATGTCCAACAGGCTCACTGCTCCTTTTACTCTGAGGCAGCTTTGTTTGTTCTTCCTTATCTCCTGTTTGTCTGTTTTCTTTCTTCTTGTATTTTTTTAAAAATGGGGACAAAGCATCCAGGAGGGTCACAACAGAGACCTATCCTCTGAGTGTTGTTTATCAATAGAGTTCGTTTAAACTATGTAGATGAAGAAAACAAGTCTTCACTCCCCCCCCCCCAAGATCAAGCTCTGTCTGCGACCGAGGGCAGTAACGAAGAAACTGAGGGGAGTTGGGCCGCGCACGTGAATTGCAAAGGTCTGAATGGCACGCGTTGCCTGCCAACCAGATACTGCTAGAAATATTTCAATCTGCGGCACCAGGATGACCCAACACCAACAGTGGAGCACCCATGGGGACATCACTAGAAGATCTTAGAGAACCTGAACTACCCAAAGACTACCACCATCTGATAGCTCTGAAAGATATCTAGCTGTTGTGTTTAATTTTGGACCAGTACATTCAAATAAATGGATGACATGCTAGTTAATTTTAAAACCTACATAAAAAATAACCATGCAAAATTCTCCCTCCGATCCATACTGCAGCTCTAAACTCCTATATTTTGCTCGCCTACACAGCGGTTTGCGCATGTGTAGAAATCAAAATATAGGAGAGACTAGCTGTGTGGATACGAGAAGAGAATTTCACTTCTGAAGACATTATAATTTCTCTTCTTTCAGCCCTTTATCATGACATATATATTGGTATCGCAGTCATATTTTTAGCATTAGACCTATGGTATTAACAAGCAGGATTAAACACACTGATTAACATTACTGATGAAGAAAACAAACATGTCAACTAATATAAAAAAATTGCATGTAAAAGGGAAAGACAGACTAGTATAGCCTGTTTGTGGTTGTTTTCCAGTTCCAAATGCCTGCATTACTAGCTGGCATGACAGAAATGACTTATAGACTCTAAAAGAAGTTCTATTTATCCTCTTTGTATAAATTATATGAAATGGGGGCTCCCAGAAGGGAACACAAAAGCAAAAATATATAAGGCTCTCGCACGATGGTAATGATGGTGTTGGTGGCTTGGGATATACAAGAGGTCAGACCAGATGATCGGGTGATCTTTTCTGACCTTTAACTCTATGAGCTCAGAAAGACTTCCCATACGTCACAATAAAAAATAAATATATGCTTAATGTTAAATAACTGACCATTCTATTTGTGAAGTATGCTATTAAAAACTCTAGGTATGGGTTTGCTAATCTTTAGTTTTCTTTTTACCATAGACACTTTAGGTAGTTTTGTACAGACTACATACAGAAATGTACATACCAGCACATTGTTCTATTTTTTTTTAAGATAAGATCAAGTATCATTAGAGAAACTATACCCTGTATTTGCAGTTGGAATTGACTAATTGTACAATTTTAAAAGTTAAAAATTTTTTTCTCAGATAATGATGCATACAAATAAAGGGCCACATTTTCAAAAAAAGATCAGCTACTATTTAGATATCTAGGAATATAGTACCTTGGGCATGCCATCACTCTCTCCCATAAGGTAGTCTATCAGCTGATTGGTTAGCGCTTCATCTTTTGCTTGCCCGACCTATTAAATAAAGACAGCGGAAAAATGTCAGCATGTGCCTGAAAGATGGGGGGGAAAAGAATTACATTTCTCCATAGAAGACCTTTAAATTTAAATATAAATATACTTAGAACATGTATTCATCAGTCTTTCATACTCAAAACACAGTAAAGTAGTGATCTATTTGGTTGATCACCTTTTTTTCCCCCCCGGACATACTGTAGTCCATATTTAAAATCTAACATTATGGCAAGGATGTCAAGCTGCTACCTATTTAACATGTTTGAAAACTGCATCCATTAAATACTAAAAAGATCTACATTTGGAATTCTAGATAGATACATTATTTACATTCCCACATGCTCAGTGAAGAGGGAGAAACAACAACAGGAAACTTGGAAATGGTAGGGGTGCTTAATGACTTCTTTGTTTTGGTTTTCACCAAGAAGTTTGATGATGGGATGCCTGACTGTGAATGCTAGTGGAAATGGGGTAGGTTTAGAAGTTAAAATAAAAAAAGAACAAGTTAAAAATTACTTAGAAAAGTTAGATGTATTCAAGCTACCAGGGCCTGAGGAAATGCATCCTAGAATACTCAAGGAGCTGCTGGGGAGGAGGTATATCTCAGCCTCTAGCTATCATCTTTGATAAATCATGGAAGTCAGGAGAGATTCCAGAAGACTGGAAAAGGGCAAATATAGTGCGCCTCTATAAAAAGGGAAATAAGAACAACCCAGGAAACTACAGACCAGTCAGTTTACTTCTGTGCCAGGGAAGATAATAGAGGAAGTAATTCATCTACAAACATTTGGAAGAAAATAAAGGTAACAAATCATGTCAAACCAATCGGATAGCTTTCTTTAATAGGATGTCAATCCTTGTGGATAAAGGAGAAGTGGTGGATGTGATATACCTAGACTTTAGTAAGGCATTTGACATGGTCTCGCATGACTTTCTTATCAATAAACTAGGGAAATACAACCTAAATGGGACTACTATAAGGTGGGTGCATAAGTGGCTGGATAATCATTCCCAGAGAGTAGTTATTAATGGTTCACAATCATGCTGGAAGGGCATAACAAGTGGGGTTCTTCAGGGGTCTGTTTTGGAACCGGTTCTGTTCAATGTCTTCATCAGCCATTTAATGATATTGTAAAGAGTATGATTATTAAGTTAGCAGATGATACCAAGCTGGGAGGGGTTGCAAGTGCATTGGAGGATAGGATCAAAATTCAAAATGATCTAGACAAACTAGAGCAATGGTCTGAGGTAAATAAGATGAAGTATAATAAGGACAAATGCAAAGTACTCCACTTAGGAAGGAACAATCAGTTTCACACATACAGAATGGGAAGTGATTGTCTAGGAAGGAGTACTGCTGAAAGGGATCTAGGGGTCATAGTGGACCACACATTAAACGTGAGTCAACAGTGGGGCTGTGTCTACACTGGCATGAATTTCCGGAACTGCTTAAAACGGAATACTATTCCGTTTTCAGTTTTTCCGGAAAAGGAGCGTCTACATTAGCAGGCTGCTTTTCCGGAAAAGCCCTTTTTCCGGAAAAGTGTCTGTGGCCAATGTAGATGCGCTTTTCCGGAAAAGAGCCCCGATCGCCATTTTCGCGATCGGGGCTTTTTTCCGGAAAAGACTACTGGGCTGTCTACACTGGCCCTTTTCCAGAACAGTGTTCCGGAATAAGGACTTATGCCTGAGCGGGAGCAGAATAGTTTTTTCGGAATAGCGGCTGATTTTGTACAGTAGAGCATCGTTGTTTTTCCGGAAATTCAAGGGCCAGTGCAGACAGCTTGCAGCTTATTCCAGAAAAGTGGCTGATTTTCCGGAATAAGTGGCCCAGTGTAGACACAGCCAGGCTAAATCTAGACTATGAAGTTTTTCTGGGATACCAGAGGTATCCCGGAAAAACTCCTCCACGTCCAGGGAACGAGTCTACTCTTCCGACATTTTTTGTGGAAGAGCAGATGTGGTCTTTCGGATGCCCTGTCTTCCTCGTTCAGGTTTTTCTGAAATTTGGCCCAGTGTAGACAGGCCAAATTTTGGAAGAGCCTCTTCTGACAAAACTATTGGAAAAAGTTACACAAATAGTGGAGCACAATTTGCGTACCTTTTGCCGAAAAAAAGCGGCAGTCTAGACATAGCCTGTGATACTGTTGCAAAAAAGGCAAACATGATCCTGGGATACATTTACAAGAGTGTTGTAAGCAGGGCATGAGAAGTCATTCTTCTGCTCTTCTCTACATTGATTAGACCTCAGTTGGAGTAGTGCCCAAACCTGGACACAATACATCTCAAGAAAGATATGGAGAAATTGGAAAAGGTCCAGAGAAGAGCAATAAGAATGATTAAAGGTCTAGAGAACATGAGCTATGGAGGGAAGACTGAAAGAATTGGGCTTGTTTAGTTTGGAAAAGGGAAGACAGAGAGGACAAAATAGCGATTTTCAAGTACCTAAAAGGATGTTACAAGAATGAGGGAGAAAAATTATTTTAATTAGCCTCTGATAGGACAAGAAGCAATGGGCTTAAACTGCAGCAAGGGAGGATTAGGTTGGACATTAGGAAAAACTTCCTAACTGTAAGGGTGGTTAAACACTGGAATAAATTGCCTAGGGAGGTTGTGGAATCTCTCTCACTGGAGATATTTAAGAGCAGGTTGGATAGACATCAATCAGGAAGGATCTAGAAGTGCTTGGTCCAGCTGTGAAGGCAGAGGATCAGACTCGATGACCTCTTGAAAATATTATTTGGTATAGCATCAGGAACTTTTTACCTTAGCCCTTGCTTTTACTCTTGCAGCTTCCTCCTTATATCTATAATTTATTCAAACTCTCTGCTAACCACTAGGACAGGGTAGGCAATAATTTTTTATGGAAGCCACTCAAAAATTTGTTAAGTGGTCATGGGTCATAAATTTTCTACTATGTTAATAGAAGGGGTGTGGGGATCTGGGATGATAGTTGTGTACTGAAGGAAGTTCCGGGGTAGGTGACTGGGGTGCAGAGTCTGGGAAGTTTTGGGAACAGGAGAGGATTCTGACCTGGGGGAGGAGTGCAGAAGAGGGAGTAAGGTCTGGGAGGGAGCTTGGATTCAGAAGGGGGTTATGAACTGGAGCAGGAGTGCCGGAGGGATGCAGAGGCTTGGTGTGTAAGAAAAGGTCATGATCTGGGACAGGAAGGTGGGGTGTGGTGGAGTGCTAGATGCAGTCTCTGGCCAAGAGTAGCTTATTGAATGCATCTCTTTCTGGCAGCTCAGTGGGATCCTAAGGCAGACTCTCTGGCTGCTGTGGACCCACACGCTGCTCAAAACAATCAGCTGCTAGGGTCAATGTGTGTATGTCTCCTCTTGGAGGAGGGGGGGCAGTAGGTCTCTGTGTGCTGCCCATGCCTGTAAGTACTGCCACTGCAACTCCCTCCAGCCAAAGGAAGCTGCAAGGATAGTACTGGGGGAGGGGGCAGCACATCCCTAAGGGGCACACATATGTTGGTTCCAGCAGCCAGCTGCTTTGAGCAGCGTGTGGGGCTGCAGCAGGCAGGGAGCCTGAGGATCCAGGTAGGCCAGTGTGAGCCAGATCCAAATGTTTGTTGAGACAGATTTGCCCACTCTGCACTAGAACATCAGTACAGTAAAAATATAGATTACTTGAAAAGAAGGCTGAATATTCAATTTTTTAGGTTTATCAATTTTTCTTACTGTTTCAATTGCCATTTCTATAGCCATGTTATCTTCTGTGCTTGGACTTTTCAGAAAATGTTTTAGTGCCTGAAACAAAAACAGGTATACGAAGATATAATGGGTAAGTGACATGGAGTTTTCTTTAGAAAAATCTTTTTCCTTATTTTTGAAAAATTAGATTTTAATTCATCTTGTTCTGCAAAAACTAGGAAGAAAGGAGAAAGATCCTTTGATTGCATTAAAATGAGGTGATCCCTGAGCACGCTGAGAGCAATTAAGTTATTTCATATGAATGTGAAATTAACAGTCACAAATTAGTGAAAATAGCCAATAAAGAGGAGCACACTACGACCACGGGAATATAGTCATCACGCTGATGTCTCATAAAATTACAGAGGAAAAATGCACTCATGAAGTCTTTTTGGAGGCCTTGCTGGAGAAATTACAATCCAGCACATCACCCTTATCTATTTACTTGTTTCCTCCTCACTCCCATGGCCCCCTCAGAGCTGCAGAAGCATATCCAGCATATTCCTGGCACATTTATTTTCAGCCCTGACAGCCAGCAATGACAGGAGAATTTTCACTATGGGGGCATTACAGAGCACTGCAATCAAGGGTTAATTGGGCACTGGCCTACTGAGAGGAGCAGGTCACCGTCCCCTACCAGTTGGTAATTTGAAAAGAATTGTAATCTTGCTTTTTTCCTCTCAGGACATAAACATACAGCTTAAAATGCAGCAGCTGACATAATCAACTTGTAACCAGTCAATAAGAAATATGCTAATTTGCATACTCAAAAATTCTGTGTTTCAGTAAGCTACAGTATTTAATTAATGATTTTTTTTACAATGGAATATTCAAATAAGTCAACTGTAACTAAACTAACTGTTGTTCATATATCACTCAGATATATTATGTCTACAATCCATATGAAGCTTCTACTGATGTCAATAAAAGTTGTGTGCGTGCCTCAATAAAAATATATTGTGCTTACCTTTTATTTGTTTTCTATTCATGGGAAAAATAATTTCTTCTACATTTTGTTGGAGGTAGGACCATATTTTTAATTTTGATTGCATCAATGTAAAATAAGAGGAATTAGTAAAGAAGCCTTTTTTCCTGATCTGTAGGAAGTGTAATGATCTGGAATTCAGTGTTTTGCACAACCATTGCCATTTAAATGCTGTTGCTGTTTTACTCTCTGTATACTAACCCGAGCATACTGACCGCACAACAAAAAGAATTTGCCAGCCTGAAAATGTTTTTTTTCTCCTTCAAAGTATAGTGCAATACTCTGATAGTCTTCATTGGTAGTATTCTCAGAACCTGAAACACAGACACTAAGGTGAGCAAAACTTCTCATGAAACAAAGATTTATAGACATGAAAGAGTGCAAACCATCTACTTTCACATTTTTGGCTTTTGGTTTTCAAATAAAACAGGAGCAAGCTGGATTTATAAGTTCTGTTTTGCACATTTTATACCTAATGTGCCGCATCTGATCTTAGATAAAGGACTTGTCATGATCATGAGAGATGGCCAGCAGCCTGGGGAATAATGGGTTAACTATACCTAAGCCAGGTAGAGTTGGCCAATAGGAATGTAGGTAGGAATTTCAAACTGGGACAAAGGAATTTTTGGTTTCTCTCCTGTGTCCCTAGAGCAGTTTCTCTCCAGTTACTGAGGGAGACAGACACTATGTCTCTCTCTAAGAAAAGACTCTTCACTATCTGTAACTAGGGTAAAATTTATATAAATCCATTAGGTTTTATTGTTTTATGGTTTGGGAATGGGAATCTGATGTCTGTGCATTTAAAAATGGGGTTTTCCTCTCCTTTGTAAAACTAAGCTTTGGCACATGGTGGCATCCCTCCATGAGTATATTAATTTGTGACTTTTCCATCTAGTCATTATGCTTGCAACAGGAATATTGTGGTGATGATAAAAGTTTTTTTTCTCTTTTCCTTTTATTAACCTGGTATTGGTTAATTTTTGAGTCCTGGTTTTACTTTTGGGGGCTGAGATTTCCCAAGTAGTCCCTCCCTGGTTTCTTTATTACTACTTGGGTTGTGGCAGCGGATTTTTTATCCCCAAAATCTAGGGTTTTAAGATTTTGGGGGGGAAACTTTAAACCAAAGCCTGGAAAGATAAGGTTTTGGGGTACTTTTGCAGGCCCCCACTTCTGCATTTATCGTATTAGAGCGGGGAAAAAGCCTTGACAGGACTAAAGACTTACTGAAGCAATTCTTTACCTAATAAACAACTACAGCAATTACATTTAGGAGTAAAATCTAAATTAAAGTCAAATGGCATAACTGTGAACTGGTTTTATGAGTTATTCCATTGCCTCCTAGTACTAATGAGGTAGAAAACTGAATTCTGAGAGTGACCATGGATTAAAGAGATGTGAAATTTCACACAAAAACTGTACGTTATTATTACTCTAGACTTCTATATACCTTTCTTCACAGATAGGCCATACATTCCTAAAGAATTCCCAATAGAAATATGACAATAGAATTCTCACCAATGATGTCAGCATAAATCTCCATCTTATTGTGCTGTTGAGCTAGTGTGAAAGCTTCATTATTACACTTGGACATGACCAGAAACTGGATGGCAGAACCATAGTCACCCAACTGCAGAAAGAATCTAATTGGAATAAATAGATGAAGACTTTTGATAAATAACAATAAACAAACACCAAATGTTCTCCAAACAAAACCACTCTTGTTCAATGATTGTAGCAACTGAGGGACTATTAAATCACTCTTCTAAATCTTCTAGAGTGCTGCTGCACATATGTTATGATCAACTAATTTCTAGTAAGAATTATGGATGAGAAGGCTTTTCTATTTAAAGCTTGCATGTAGTTTTCTAAGGCTGTGTCTACACTACACCCCTCTGTCAGCAGAGGGATGTAAATAAAGCACGTTGAAAGTGCAAATGAAGCGGAGATTTAAATATCCCAGGCTTCATTTGCATAATCACATTCTGGCACTGTTTCAAACAAGCAATATTTCAAAACTGAAACCGCAGTTTAGACGCAGTTCTGCCGACAGCAGGGTGATTTTTTGACAGATCTTGTACTCCTTGTTTATTGAGGAGTACAGGATCTGTCGAAAAATCATCCCACTATTGGCAGAACCGTGTCTAAACTGCAGTTTCAGTTTCAAAATGGTGCTTGTTCGAAACAGCATCAGAATGTGATTATACAAATGAAGCGTTGGATATTTAAATTCCCGCTTCATTTGCACTTTCGAAACGTCTAATTTACATCCCTCTGACGACAGAGGGATGTAATGTAGATGAAGTCAAAAAGACTGCTATCATTTGGGATCAAATTTGGTATGGTTATTGACAGTGTGGAAACCATTTCATATTTAGCTAGAAGCCATTCTGTATAACAAAAGCCATTTCAGTTTCTTGTGTCTGCACGTATATTAGAGGGAGTGAACTGGCCTTCACCGAGGTGGGGAGAGGCCAGAAGAATGCGCTGTTGGAATGTGTTAATGAACTATTTTAAGCTGAAGCCCTTACTCCCTAAAACCTGTTTCTTTCTTTGCTGATAATAATTCCTCTTTGAAGTTCACTTTGATTTCTTGCCCTGACATCAGACTTATTTGGTTAAGGGTATAAAATACTAGGATTGATTATATTAGCCAGCCTTACTGGACCCAGCTCTGCTGGGACCACGTTTGGCTCATTTTGTTTTATTGATCAATAAAACTGTCTGTTTAGCCGCCTAAACCGAGTGAGGCATTTGCTTCAACAACAGGCAGAAGTGAACTTTGGTGAAACTCTGATTAATTTCTTTTGGCTAATTGAGACATTTAATTACAAAAAGTTTTTCAGAAATCTTTTTCTAATGATATTTTCATATACTCTTTTTTTCCATGTAAAACTTTATATTGGATCTCAGTGAGGACTACGGTTTTTTAAAATATGCTTTAAAATAATGAAGTGAATTTCTCATCGTTTGAGATCATCTGTCCAATTATGTTTCTTACACATTCTTAATAGAGTGAGATGTTTCTGATACGTTCCCATGCAACCATATATTGCTGTTTGAGCTGAATGGATATTTACTGCTTTTGTTGGTTCATGCAGTCATATACAAGAGTGAGAACATTCAAACTTGTGCACTCAGAGTGAAATTCACTCCCCTATACAGAAACCAGAGAATGCAGGGAGCATTTAGTGAAGAAATTCACACACATCCCAAACCCAAATCTGCATGCATGGCTCCAGTAATAGCCACAACCCCAATGCAAGGTTCAGCATTAACTGGTTACAGATGCATGGAAAGGGCAAACAGAAAACCTGTCTGGCTACCCAGCAGACTAACCTTATACAGAACCCTGGAGCTTACATGGTGAAAAGAGACTTACACTGGTCCTCAGCACCATGAGTGAATATCACCCTTGTTTTGCAAATACAGTTTTATTATTTAGCACCAGCTTTGGTCCTACATAAAGCTACAGATGTACTAACATGAGCATTCTTGAGGCTTTTTAAAAAAGTCATCAGCATATGATTAATCCTTTCAGTTATCTCAAGGATTACAAAATGTTGCCCTAAATAAAAAACAAGTTTCAGGGTTATGAACTAACCTAGAGATGCTTCTTCTATGCTCGGGGTGCCTATCTCAAATTAAAATACACAATACAAAATACAGTTAAAAGAATATCCCTCCCAGATACCAGATAATTTGAATAAGAGAACAGAATATAAATAAAGTAAGTAAAAGGACTATGCTTTACATGGCTACAAGATAGAACACACAAATCAAACAAAATAATCTGACTAGAATGGACAAAAATTTAAGATTTCTGTAATAAGAAAAATAAACTGAAGACTGGAACATATCAACAAATAAACAGAGGAAGATACAAAAAAAAAAAAAAAACCCCAAATAATTCCTAACACTCTTTGCATAAGTGAAACCCCTCTGAGGAGGGACTAGAGGGCTTACTATTAACACCTCATTTTTGAATCACTTCTCGTGTATGAGCACAAAGCACTTTGCAATAAATATAGAAGGCGGCAACAATGACGACAGCATGAGAGGTTATATTAAGAAGATAAGGTTAGTATAGTTAGGTTTGCAAATCTATCTAATGTAACTACATTACTGTATTACCTGGCTACCATCTTGGCTCCATCAAGAGACTGTGTTTCCCTGACAATACTAACAGCTTTTTCAGGATTGTTAAGATGATCCAAATATAGCCGGATTACATTGTCCCACTGTTTGGCATTCTCGTAAGCCACAACTGCTTCCTTGTATCTGCAAAATAATGATGCCCACATTTTACATTCAAGCTTTCTTGGCTCGAAGAATCTTCACAATACTCTATGCAAGGAACTCACAATATTTTACACCTAAGAAGTCACCCTGTGAAATTAAGCTGTTTTTAATAATTTTGCTTACAACATGTACTCCCCTTTTAAAGTCTTTTGATAATGACAATAGGAAAACAAAACACTTCATGCAATACCGTCTTTTTATTCCTCTAGAAGACAAACAGTAAGGCTACATCTAGACTACATTCCTTTTTCAAAAGAGGGATGTAAAGTAGGCATGTCGATATTGCAAATGAAGCTGAGATTTGAATTTCCCGCACTTCATTTGCATAATGGCAACTGCCGCTTTTTTTTTTTTTTTTTTTTTTAAACGGGGCTTTTTTGAAAAACAAAAAAAACAAAAAAACCACAACCCTGGCAGTTTAGACAGGGCATTTTCGACAGAAATTCCCTGTTCAAAAGATCCTGTACTTGGACCTTTCATATCTTATAGTTGAGCTCATGATTAGGGAAAATTTGGAGACTCAATTATGACAAACAGTACTACTGTAATTTATTTAAAAAAATGTTTATTTTCCAGACTGTGATGATTAATCATAGATTTTTATAAAAACTCCAGAGTTTTTAAAAGAAAAATAAACTTCAGCATATCATCACTGCTAAACACAGCTACTATACTTAAAAGCTATAATACACTTTTTTAAAAAAGAGCTTTTTAAAGCTTAACCCAAGGATAATAAAATCAGAAATATTTCTTTCCTTGTCAGAAATGCAATCTGTCTAGTTTCAAGACATTTGTAGAATATTTGATTTTTATATTTTTCCATGAATACTGTATTCACTGCATACTTCTTGGTTTATGAACAAAATTGAATATTAACATTTGGTAGCTCTAAATCTTTGGTTATTTGACTCTGAAAATTAAACATACCTGCCATCTGCTTCTTTTGCTTTAGCATACTGCAGGTGGATCTTTGGAGATGATACACAAGGGAGAAGCTCACCAACCTTTGCCCTAGAAAACCAAGATAATAAAGTAACCAAATAATAAACATTAGACTCAAAGGGGTAGCCATGTTTGTTGTTTCTAAAGCTACAGACTTGTAGTCCTGTGTCACGGCACATTAGAGACTAACAAATTTATAAGTTCATGAGCTTTTGTGCTCATAACCTCATAAACTTGTTAGTCTCTCAACGTGCCACAGGACTGCTCATTATTTAATCAGACACATTCAGGACAGTCAACAGACTTCACTGGGCTCTGTGCAAGGCATGACATGGTTCCAGGGGAAACGGGTAGAGCAGTGGTTTCCAACCTTTTTACACCCAAGATCACTTTTTAAATGTCAGGGCAAGCCAAGATCTACCCCACCTCTTCCCCAAGACCCCACCCCCTCCATTCTCCTCCTCTCTATCACTAACTGTCCCCAGCCCTTACTATCACTGGGTTAAGGCAGGAGTTGTGGGCTCTGGGTGGAATGAGGAATTTGGTGTGGGAAGGGGTGAGAAGTGCAAGCCCTGGGGGAGAATCTGGGTACAGGAGGAGGTGAAGAAGGGGATGCTAGTTCGCAGTCGGGATTCCAGGCTGGAGAGTTGAGGTTAGGTGGGGTGCTGAGCAAGGTGCAGGCTTGTGGGGGTGCAGGAGTTTAAGTGGTATATGAGGAGCTCAGGGCAGGGCGGTTGGGTGTATGATGGGCTCAGGACACAGATTTGCAGTGTGTGGATGGTGTAGGAGTGTTGTGGCAGAAGACTTGGGGATGTGGGGGCTCAGGACAAGGGATTCAGGTGTATGATGGGCTCAGGTTTGGGGTCTGTGGGAGTGTTATGATGCTGCAGCCAGATGGGGGCTTGGCCTCAATTGGGGGCTAGTTGGCCAGGCTTCACTTTTAAATAAAATATGTCCAACACAAAACTTTTCAGAATTGTCTTTATTTATGGGAGGGGCAGGGAACCTGTTTTGGGTCAGTTGCCACTAACCCACTGAAAAAAAAAACCAATTGGGACCACACAAGTGAGATGCAAAAAAACCACAACCCCTCAAACCCCCAATCCTCACTGATGTGGCCCCAACTGAGACATCTCACTCCCCTGGCACTCCAGCCCCATGTGGGAGGAGGGTAGATAGGACTGAGGTTCAAAGCCTCAGGCCAGATTAACTCTTCTGGGGTTCCAGGGTTAGTAGAATTTGTGGGCCCCTCTACACTCTGAGATGGGGCCAAAAATGAGGGACCCAGTGAATGGGACAGGGCTGCCAGTGAGTAGGATAGGGATGGGGGAGAAAATCTGGGTGGAAAACAGGGTAAGGAGCAAGCTGGGGTAGGTGTCTGGCTAGGAGGAAAGGGGCAGGAGAAGGGTGCTGGTGGGTGTCTGGCCAGAAGGCAGGGTCAGGGTGCTGCTAGGGGTCTGGCTGGGGTCTGGCCAGGGGGTAGGGTGCTGGTGGGGGCCAGGGCAGGGTGCTGGTGAGGGATGGGGTAGGTGGGAGTCTGGACAGGGGGCAGGAGCGGGGTGCTGGATGGGGCTCTGGCCATGGTGCAGGATGCTAGTAGGGGCCGGGGCAAGGGTGCTGGTGTGGGCTGAGGCAGGTGGGAAACTGGCCAGGGGGGTGCTTGTGTGTATGTGTGTGTGTGTGTGGGGGAGGGGGGGAGAACAGCTTGGCTGGTACCTGGGGATCCCTCTGTGTGTGCTGCTCCTCTGGTCTGGTGCAAAGCTGGAGACTTCCTTCCCTCTGCTACCTTCCTGTGATAGGGGGAGAGGGCATCCCGGGCTGTGTGCCAGAGCCAGTCTCAGGAAGCAAGCAGGCTGCTCCTCCCCCAAACAGCCAATGTGCTTCCTGAGAAGTTGGATTTGGTGAGGGGGGGAGAACAGCTTGGCTGGTACCTGGGGATCCCGCAGCGTGCATTGCTCCTCCCCTCCCCACAGGCTGCTCCTCCCCCAAACAGCCAATGTGCTTCCTGAGAAGTTGGATTTGGTGCGCAGCCGGGGACTTCCTTCCCTCTGCTGCCTTCCTGCGCAGGGTGTGTGTGTCCTGCAGCCCGGGACTTGCCTGCCCTTCAGCCATCAGGGGGGAAGGAAGTCCCTGGCTGTGCACCAGACCCGACTTTTCAGGAAGCACGCCGGCTGTTTGGTGGAGGGAAGGAGCAGCCTGCATGCTTCCTGAGACTCTGGGTCTGGCATGCAGGTGCAGGACTTCTCTCCCCAGGCCGCAGGAAGCTGGTGCTAACTCCATTTTCCCAGGAGGTAGTGCCAGTACGGGCTACTTCTTGGTGGTGGTGGAAAAATGCGGGAGGAGGGGGCTGGAATGCCTACGATCGACTGGTTGTGCCTACAAACTCAACCAGTTGGTCACAATCAACAGGTTGGTGACCACAGGGCTAGGGCATTGAGCTACGCCCTTCAGCGCCACCCAGGACTCTGGACATTATTTAAAAGGCCTGGGGCTCCAGCTGCTACTGTTGCTGCCGTAACAGCTGGAGCGCTGGATCCTTTTACATTTCTGGGCCCCAGGATAATGAAGATGATTAGAGGAGTCCTATTTCTTTTCAAAGGGCACTACAGTATGACCAGTTTTTCAAGGAATGTAAAATGGTACTAAATGTGCACTTACCAGTTTTTACAGCGAATATATACTGAAGCAGCCTTGTCGTAATATTGGCCTTTTTCATATAGCTGGGCAGCTTCTGAAAATTGCTTCAATAAAAATTATAAAAATGTTAATTTGGAGACTGTGAATTTATCAAATTATTAATGCTGTCTCTGTTACTAGGGATACCTTCATACTCTCCAGAATGGCTCCACAGTCTCTCTTTAGCAGCCTGCTAGGATGTTTAATGGCTTGATTAACCCCTCTACGAATGTCTCCCATTCGAATGGACATCTGAGCCACTCCAGCTAGACAAGCTTCATCATGTTCCTGGTACTGGTGATGAAAAGTGAAGCGATAACTATATTTTCAGTAGAAAAAGTATTGGTTTTCCTTGCTGGCCACATTTAGGTAACTTTCTAGAGAAGTTCCATCAATTTTTCACACTTCTACTTTTTTAAATAACTCACCAGGCCAGGACAAAGATAGGTTTCAAAAAGAGACAAGGAAACAGAACAGAACACCAGCACAGATGAACAGAAAAAAGGCAGATGGGGAAGTTATTTACTTCTAAGTGGACTTCTCTCAAAGTACTAGCCCAATAAATTCACACATTTGGTTTTTAAATACATAAGAAAGCACTGCTATTTCTCTTGTTCTGAAAAATCTGATTATTCATTTTATTCTTCTTTACTGATCAGCTCACTACAAAAAAATGAAGAGATCTATATAAGTATTGTATTTCAATATATTATTATTTTGGCCCTGTCCCACTTAATATTGACCATTTGAACAATTTCACAATAATCACGTAACCATAATTTCCATGTACTACGTTAGTTCAGGAGATATTAATAAACTAGGCCTGTCAATCATAGTTAATTCACACAATTAACTAAAAAATTTATCACAATTAAAAAACGATTAACCACAATTTTAATTGTGCTGCTAAACAATAGAATACCAATTAAAATGTATCAAATATTGTGAATATTTTTCTCTATTTCCACATATATTCTGTGTAGTAATTATAATCAAAGTGTATATTTTTTTCTTTCAAATATTTGCATTGTAAGAGTTCACCTCATACAAGTAACGTAGTACAATCTCTTTTTTATGAACGTGCAACTTACAAATATTGATTTTTTGTTTTGTTTTGTTACTTGGTCCACTCAGACCAAAGGCCCATCTAGCCCAGTATCCTGTCTTCTGACAGTGGCCAATGTCAGGTACCCCAGAAAGAATACACAGAATAAGTAATCATCAAATGATCCATCCCGTCACCCATTTCAAGCCCTGACAAAATGAGGCTAGGATTACCATCCTTGCCCATACTAACCACTACATTTAAAAGGCAGAGCTGCAGCAGAGTTAGCTCCTGGGTCCAGGAGCTGGCCCCACTGCAGCTCTGCAGTTTCCTCCTCTTATTGAGTAGTTGATGGAAATTCCGTTGACTACTTGATTAACTAATTAAACACAACTTAACATCCTTATTTTAAACCTGCTACCCATTAATTTCATTTGGTGACCCCTAGTTCTTATGGGAATAAATAAATAACTTTTTCTTATTTACTTTCTCCATTCCTGTCATGATTTATTAGACTTCTATCATATCCGCCTCCCCCCCTTAGTCTCTTCTTTTCTAAGCTGAAAAGTCCCAGTCTTTTTACTCTCTCTTCAGATGGCACTCATTCCAAACCCCTAATCATTTTTGTTACCCTTTTCTCAACCTTTTCCACCTGGATCAATCGGTCTTCAGCTATCGTTAAGACTGCGCCGATCACAACACGTCCACCATTCTTCTCACACTCTTGCCTTTCTTCTCCACGTTCGTCCAAAATGTTTAACAATGTCATCTTCCCATCTTCTTGGAGGCTGACTGGGTGGTCTTTTCTGTTCTTGCAGGTACCACTCAGCAATAATTGCAGTCCACCTATTGTCCTGCCCATTGCAGTGTGGCCTGCCCATCGCATTTTGTTACGTCTGCTTTCCACGATAATATCTTTCACACCGCTGCGTTCTCTGACAATTTAATTTGGAATACAATCCAGAAGGGAAATTCCTAATATAGCTCTCTCCATTGCCCTTTCAGCTACCAATAGTCACTCCTCTCTCTCTTCATCAGTGCCCACGTTTCTCTGCCGTACAACATGGCTAGCAGCACAGTTGAATTGAAGATATTTGTACGTGTGGTCTTATCGATTTTTTCTTTGAGGACGTCCTTGATGGAACTGAATGTGCACTATCCTGCCTGAATCCTTCACAAGAGTTCTCCATTCAGGTCTTGGAGCATATTAACTTCTTGGCCCAAATATATGTACTATTCCACTTCTTCGATTTCTTCTCCTGTTATCATTATTCGGGCTTTTCGTAAGACGTCTGATCGCATGTATTTTGTTTTGCAGCGTTTCATTTTCACACTGACCTGACTGCTTTTCTTGTCAAGTCTTCATAGCATGCTCTGCAATTGATTGGTGCTTTCGACAATTAATACTATGTCGTCCACGAATCTGAGATGAGATAATCGTTCTCCATTTATGTTGACACCACTCCTCCAATTAATCTTGTTTATAAACATTTCAAGGTATGCAGTGAATAGTTTCGGTGAAATTGTATCTCCTTGCTTCATGCCTTTCTTAATTGGGATACGGAGGAGCGTAATATCTGTCGTACATCCAGTATTCGCTTCCTTCAACAAATTGATGTATTGCGTGTTAATGCCCTGTTCTGTGAGCGCCTTTAATATTGCGTTGAACTTGACGCTATCAAAGGCCTTTTCATAGTCAATGAAAGAAATGCACAGCGGAAGTTAGTATTCCCTTGTTCTTTCTAGGAGCTGGATAAGGGTAAATATATGGTCGATCGTGCTGAAATTTCTTCGAAACCCTGCCTGCTCTCTCGGCTGTTGTTCATCCAAGCTCTGCCTTTGAGATAAGGCGCCCACATCTGTATGCAGTATTCAAGACATGGATGTACCATGGATTTATATAGAGGCAGTAAGATATTCCTGCAATTTAAATGCAATAAGAGCCCAGCTCCTACTATATTTAAACCAAAGAACCTCAGCAGGGGTAGGTCCTGGAACCAGTACAAGACAGGACTGAGCAAGCCTGGCTCAGTCCTGGCTTGCTCCAGGTCCAGGACCTACCCCCACTGTCACTATGCAGTTAAAATATAATAAGATCTGGGGGTGGCATAATTTATAAATTCAACTTTTATGATAGAGATTGTACTACAGTACTTGTATTCAATTAAAAAAACATAAGGAATAGTATTTTTCAATTAAACAGTTCAAATACATGTAATAAAAATAAAGTGAGCACTATACACTTTATATTTCATGTTGTAATGAAATCAATATATTTGAAAGTGTGGAAAAAACACCCAAAATAGTTAAATAAATGTTACTCTAACAGTGGGATAAACTGTAATTAATTTTTTAAATTGCTTGACAGACCTATAGTAAACTGTTTATTATCAAATATACAATTTTTCCAGGTGTGTACAATGATAAGAAATAGCAATGCACGAAGATTGTTTTTCCAAATGGAAGTGAGAGTTACATTATTTACAAAAGAATACACAACCCTATATTTAAATAAACTGTAAGAGAAGGACTCAGTATATATTGAGAAATTGGAGAAGGTCCAGAGAAAAGCAACAAGAATGACTGAAGGTCTAGAGAACATGACCTATGAAAGAAGACTGAAAGAACTGGGCTTGTGTAGCTTGGAAAAAAGAAGATTGAGGGGGGACATGATAGCAGTTTTCAGGTATCTAAAAGGATGTCACAAGGAAGAGGGGAAAAAAATTGTTCTTCCTGGCCTCTGAGGACAGAACAAGAAGCAATGGGCTTAAACTACAGCAAGGGAGGTTTAGGTTGGACATTAGGAAAAAGTTCCTAAACTGTCAAGGTGGTTAGACATTGCAATAAATTGCCTAGGGAGGTTGTGGAATCCCCATCTCTGGAGATATTTAAGAGTAGGTTGGATAAATGTTTGGATAAATGTCTATCAGGGATGGTCTAAACAGTACTGGTCCTGCCATGAGGGCAGGAGACTGGACTCAATGACCTCTCAAGGTCCCTTCCAGTCGTAGTATTCTATGATTCTATATTATAATTACTTGTATACCAACATTACCTTATTGTCACCTGTGATTCCCTTCTCATAGTGTGCCAAAGCATTTACATAATCACCCCTAAAAAAAAAAAAATGTGTAAAAATGGATATTAATAGGAACAACAATTGCAGAGTTAAGTCTGCTTATTTAGCTGAGAAATAAATGGATCTCCTAAAGCAACACACACAGTTAATCCTGTGATCACATTTTTCCAGTATTTAATGCAATTTTTTTTTGCGAGAAGGTTATAAAAAGTGCCATGTAGTCACAAATGCCTCAGTTCCCTCCTTTTTGTGGCCACCTGTAGCTATTGTCTCTAATTACGCAGGCATTTTGATCCAAAACATCTTAATTTCTAAACTGAAATTATAATAAAGTTACTAAGTTTTATGTAGTTTGTGCCACAACATATTTACTTTTCACTTTAACCCTATGGGCCTTGTGAGCCTTTTAATTCCATCTCAGACCTCTGTGGCTTAGGTAAGAAGGGTAGAATTAAGCATGTGTGTTATATCCCTTCATGTTTCAAGAAGAATAAAATAGTGACAATGCACACCTGTCTCTTAGGGAAGCCTCTTTCCACAAGCACTTCTAGTCCTTTTACATCTTGAGCTCAACAGGCAATGGAGGCTGATTTCAGAAAGAAGTGTCCTGTTTTGATACCATTAATGTTGACTAATAATATATTTACTGACAAACAAAATAGAACACTTTTATTCCAAAATAAGGGGGTTCCCAAACAGACTTGTTCCAAAACAACAATAGGTATGAATTAAAAAATTATTTAGCAATTTCAGTGCACATCTGTGCACAAATAAGGCCTGTATCTCGGTTTATGACTGTCATGCCAAAAACATCTATGGGCCCTAAGACGTGAGCCTTTAACACTGGAATTCACTGGTGATGAGGCTGAATTTGATTTTTCATATGGTCTCTCTGGAAGCTTGGAAACCTGGTATTGCAGAAGCCCTCTCAGCCACTGTCTTTCCATAAATCTCACTCACTTTACCAGATTAAGCCTGCTTAATGGCTGCTCATTGGTACATACCTGAAGCAGCCATGTTCTCCTATCTTGATTTTACAACCAAAGAAAACAAGATATCAATGTGATAGGGCCAGCAATATAGTTAGGTTTAGAAGACAAGAGTCTTCAAGAGTCTTGAATTCTGGCTCTTTTCACAAATATGCAGAAGATGGGAGGACTAAGGATGATCTGAGAATGAGAGGAATGGGCATTTAAATACCAAACTTTCTTCCATTCTCAACAGCAGAGAGAAAAGGTGGCATGTAGGAGAAAGCTACTCCAAGCTGCAACTGATCTGCAACTAAATATCTGGGTAACAGTCTATTTTGTTTGCACTGGTAAATTGACTTCATTTTTTCTTTTAATGGGCACTTAAAACAATCATGAGCAGCTACATTTGTGAACCACATTTCCAAAATAGTTTTCTGTGGATACTCCCAATCTTCCTGGTACAACAGCTGCAGGACCTCTCAGGGTTTTTGAATAGCACTGTAATGAGCTGTAGTGGTTCGAACAAATCGCACTCTGTGGAAATGCTTTCAGGACATCACTAGCATTTTTCTATTTTGTAGTAGTAGTTCAATATTATGATCCCACATTTTACTATAGAACATACGTGAATTCAAGCTGCATAGCATACTCCTTCGAGATGAATGAGATCTGGTCCGGGGCCAATCGCTTAGCTAGCTGTAGTGCACTGTCCCAATGCTGTAAATCTCTTCTCATCTGTTACCAAAATAAACTCTTTGAGCTTTTTGGGAATAAAACCAATCTTCTGATATAAGCACCAAATACTGAATTATTATAATAATTTCTACTATAATAAATACAATTATCAAAGTTTGTAACTTGGCTGGATTCAACAGCAAGTATGAGACAGATGATAGTAAGAAGGTGATATAGTAATAAAAGGCACAATACATACTTTAATTAAGCAACTGACAGATCCATATTATTAGGACTAAAAATGTTTAGAAATACTATAATACTGAGTAGAATTAACACCATGTAAAATAATCACATAGTCCAATAAATGGGACTTGTCATGTAAGTAAGTGTGGCAAGAGTGGAAACCGGTACAATACTTACACAAATTTTATAAAAAAGTTTTTTAGGGTTTTGGAAAACAGGAGAGGCATTCAAAGTTACGTATTTTTTCAACTGTTTTTGAAATGACAAAATGTTTAAATGTTATTGCCATTACAACTGTCCAATATCAGCAATTTACAATAGAACAGTCCTATAGTTCCTGCTTTCATATGCATTTAAGATTCACTATTGCAAATCACTGATCTTAGAAAATGACAAGGTAACAAACATTTCTCAATAAAACTATAATAAAATACTTCATCTAAGTTTGATTGTCTCTGTAAAATCTACACTGTATGTGCAGACACATTGTTTTAAAATATATTAATTATATACAGGTGGTACCTCAAAAACTGATACTCTCTAGTCCGGCAACTTCTGTCATTATTCTGTATATAAGACTGGCAAGAAAAACAATTAATATCTGACAAGCTTGTAGGCAACTTTACTAGGTACCTCAAGTGCAGCAACAGGACAGGTGGATGCCAGATATAAATCCTGAGCCAGATTAAAGTCATTGGTAAACATGGCAAGATGTCCTGCTAAAAGGTTGTGGTCTTCTATTCTCTGTAAGTAAAAATGGAGTGCTACAAGTGTCCAGAAGAGTATACTATCACAAATTGTATCATCTATTACTATTTTTTTTTAAAGATTCTACAGATCCTTCTACTAGGTCATGTGTCTGTGCATGTGTCACCTTCTTTACCCAGAAAAAAACATGGCACACAGTTTTGCTGTAAGGATTTGCAGAGTTTTAACAAATTATATAACATCTCATTACACAACAAGTGGGACTCTTCTCAACATACACATAAGGCCTGCTGTCAAATAGGAAAGGACAGAGTCTACCCAAAACATGTCAGTCAGCAAAATGTAAGGGCCCAGTTCTAAAGCCCTCTTTTTAAAAGGTCCAATAGACACATTGTTTTAAAATATATTAATTATATACAGGTGGTACCTCAAAAACTGGTACTCTCTAGTCTGGCAACTTCTGTCATCCAGCAGAATCATGGATGCTCATGAACCAGAGAGCCCAGAAGACTAAAGGCAGGCAGGAGGGCCAGCTGGGCTGGGGCAACAGTGTCAGCAGCCCAGCTGGCGGCAGCAGGAGACTGGGGCTGGAGTCCTGGGCCTGGCTGGAGTCACCTGGCAGCATGGGTTGGCACAGGGCTCCCTTCTGAGCCCTGCGGCAGCCTCCAGGAGCACAGGTCCGGGGCACCACAGCAGCTCCCTGGAGTATGGGACCAGAGCCCTGCAGCAGGCCCCTGGAGCATGGGGCTAGAGCCAGAGCCCTGCAGCAGCTCCTGAATGGGGTGGCAAGAGTCAGAGGGAAGGAGAGGTAGTGAATGGGATGGAGTAGCCCAATAAGATTATCTCTAAGACCCAGCAATCTTGTGTGATCAGCTCCTACACATGGTGGAAATGGTGTAGGCTGTAGTCAAATGGGTACTGCATAGCTGGCAAAATGGGGAGGTCATGCAAAACCTTGATCAAAAGGTTCAAAACTGTGGTTTTGATGACACTGGTCACTGGCTGAGTTGCTAATGACTGTTAGTATTGTGGTTGTTGGTGTCTCAGTGACCTGTTACTCTGCGCGTATTGTGAAGGCCTGGAATGAGGTCAGGCACAGCTAGGTTATGTGGGGCACTGGCAGGGTTGGTCTCTCTTGCTCTTTTGAAGTGATTTATACATGGCAAGTGTTCATAGTGTGGCACAAGTCCTTCTTAGGCATATGCAGCTGTATAGGTTGTGTAGGCCTAGGTATGCCCCCCCTCCAGCCCCATCCCACAGCCAACACCCCACAAGCTGCGCCTAGCCCTGCTCACCAGGTGGTGGTGAATGATGCTCACAGTCCAGAAGATTCCAGAGGAGGGGCAGCTGGCAGATGAAGAGAAGTGGCATGCTTTCAAAGCACTGCTTCTCTCTAGACAGCAGTGCGACTGCTTCCTCTCCTTTGGCCCACGCCACCCACTGCCCCCCACACTTCCCACCTTCTTTCTTGAGGCTGTAGGTGAACCTCTCTTCCTGCACTGCTCCATGATTGCCAACTCTCCCAAGATCCGGACAGACTGAACACAATTGCAGTCAATGGTGTCTAGACCAGTGGTCCCCAACGTGGTGCCTGCTGGCGCCATGGCGCCCGCCGGGGCATTTATGTGTGCCTGCCAAATGATCTGGGCCGGCCCCACCCCCAGTGCTGGCCCCGGGCATGTGGGCAGCCCTGCCTCCAGGCACGTGGCACATGTGCAGTGCTGGTGCTGGCCTGGACGCCCGGTCTGTGCGCGGCCCCGCCCCTGGATGCCCAGCAGCCCCGAAAGGTTGGGGACCCCTGATTGAGACCATCTGGTCTGAGAGAGTTGGCAACCCCCCTCCTCCCACAGCACCCACTTACGGGGCAATTGCTCCCCCACAAGATGGGATGCCAATGCTGGGCTGCACAAGTCACAAACATGGGTAAGGACAGCCAGGGAAATTTTCCAATGTGTATTACTATGCATTTATCCACATAGAATTTCACTTCTCATTTTTTTGCCCAGCCACCAAGTTCCATGAGATTCCTTTGTAACTCTTCACAGTCTGCTTTGGACTTACAGAGGATACAAAACTGCTCAAGGTAGGTAAATTTTGCCACCTTACTGTTTATCCGTTTTTCCAGATCATGTATGAAAAAGTTGAATAGTACTGGTCCCAGTACAGACCCCTGGGGTACACCACTATTTACTTCTCTCCAGCATGAAAACTGACCATTTCTTCCTATCCTATCTTTTAACCAGTTCCTAATCCATGAGAGGACCTTCTGTCTCATCTTACAATAGCTTACTTTGCTTAACAGCCTTTGGTGCGGGACCTTGTCAAAGCTTTCTGAAAATCTAAATGCACTATATCCTCTGACTCACCATTGTCCACATTCTTGTTGAACCCCCCTCAAAGAATTTAATAGATTGGAGACACGTGATTTTCTTTTACAAAAACCATGTTGATGCTTCCCCACCAAACTGAGTTAGGAGTATCTGCCTGTAATTGCTGTGATCACCTCAGGAACCTTTTAGAAAAAATTGGTCTTACATTAGCTATCTTCCAGTCATCTTGTGCAAAACCTGATCCAAACCATAGGTTATATATACACCACAGAGTATGTGCACATAGTACTACGTTTCTCAAGGCAAATAAATTAATTAAGGAGGGATTCCAGTAAGTATCTGAAATCAAACTGTCTAGAGATGGCTCTGACTTCTCCTCAATATATACAGCCTCCCTCTCCGATATGGATATAATATAATACACAACACCAGAATTCCAGCAATCTTCATCTTTCATATTTTTACAAAAAGATTTGACAATTACTTTTAAATGTTACCTTTATTTGCTCTAGTGACATCACCATACCAACATTTGCAATTGTCCGATAAACACGTACTGCAAACTCCAATTCCATGTGATGCAGGCAAGCTCTGGCAAGCTCATTCCAACTAGATTGATCATTCAGACGTTTGCATAACTCCCATGCTTCAGAAAACCTATGCAGGGTGAAACATAAAGCAAACTAAAAGTTGCATTCAATATATCTTTTCTTATAATATTTTCTTTTAAACCTAAAAAGCTTGATAAACTTTAAAAGTAGAGAGCAACTGGGAACTGACTAATTTCTAGGTTGGGGAAAATTGTTAGGGGCCACATGACAGGAAAAAGTAGGGCCACATGAATATGCTGGCCTGCAGTTTATCCTCAATTGCCCTACCTGTCTTCTTAAGAAAAACTATTTTCTTTCTCTGGCTTACTTCTCACCTTGCACTATCCTTCCATTGTACTGTTTTTGCTCCCTTGGAGAGACTGGGGTGGCATGCACTTTGTCAGTTTTGGGGCAGAAGCTATCGTGGAGCCCTGAACAGCTCTTGAATAGATTAGTGTGGCTCTTACTTAACAGTGAAAAAAAAAATCATTGGATCACGTGTTACTCAGCTATCCAAACAAACTAAACACTTATATGGAATGATGGTTTAATATAAATTTTATCAATATTCAGCATGGGATTTTTAGCATACTAGCATGTGCAATATGTTGTGTGCTTCAATCACAGAAGAAAATGATTAAATCAATATAATTAAAAAGCAGACCTACCTTTTCAACATTAAAGTCTGAGTAAGTATTTTTTTCAGCTCATTAAATCCAGTGTCTTTCAAATTGCCAAGGAAACTATGAGTACTAAGATAGATATTGTTTGTTTTCCCACTCTGAGTCTGACAGGTTAATTCTCCATTATACAAAAGCAATGGTTTATGGGAAAAGGGAACCTTGGTGCCACCTGCCAAAATAACCTTACACCCTGTATTAGGAAATCAGAAAAAAATGTTATTTAAAATGTTCCTACATTATGACATATTTAGCAGCCAGTTGCAGTTATGAACAGTTAAGAAATATAAGAGTGAAGGAATCTTATTTTGAAAATCTCAACAGGTTTGTTCTTTTATCCAACAACGTTACATACACCTGGACCAATCTGACCTATTCAAGATCTCTAATTTTGGCATTCATCATCTACTGAAGATACCAAGTGTAAAAATATATGCCAAAACGATTGTCAAGAGCAACTAGCAAAAGAAAAAAACTAAGAGCATTTTAAAATTAAATCAGAAGCCGAAAGCTTGCCAAACAATCAGTGGATGACATAGATGCTAGTGGAGTAATAAAGACAGACAAGACTGCTGCAGAGAAACTAAATTAATTCTTTTCATCAGTCTTCATTGCAGAGGATGAGAGGGAGATTCCCACATCTGAGCCATTCTTGTTAAGTGACAAGTCTGAGGAACTGTCCCAGATTGAAATGTCAAAAGAGGGGGTTTTGGAACAAACTGATAAACTAAACAGTAATAAGTCCCAATGGAAATCAAATATGAAATTGCAGAACTATTAACTATGGCAGGGCTACTCAACTGTGGAAGCTCTGGGGGCCATAATGATACTCACAGCACATGCCAAGGGCTGCAATGTAAATGTGGTTGCATATATGTACAAATATATGCAAATAGCTTCTTTCACACTGATGGGCATGAATACAAAGCATTTCCCACAATGCCCTAGTGTTTCTAGCACCTCCTCCTTGGCGGCTAGAACATAGACACCTTGTACCCATCTGTTCCAGCCAGCCCATCCACTTGCATCTTTCAATGTTCACCCTGCCTGGGAGACGCCCTGCTGTTGTGGAGTGTACAGGCAGTCCCCGAGTTACGCGGCCCAGAGCGCAGCGGTCCCGCCACCTCGACCTCCAGGGCGAGAAAAGCTGCTCCGGGTGCCCCCGGTCTGCTGGGGACCGTCTCCAGCAGACCAGGGACACCGGGAGCAAAGCCGCAGCGGCGGCAGGGTCCTGTGCCTCTGAGGCTTTGCCAGAGCAAAGCCTCAGAGGCGCGGCACCCCGCTGCCGCTACGGCTTTGCTCCCTGTGTCCCTCGTCTGCTGGGGGGTGGGGGGCAGCTAGTGCGCCCCCCCGCCAGCAGACCAGGCTTTTGTTGTAGACCCTGGGGTAGAGCAGCTGGGGTGCTGCCGGGTTGGTCCTGCAGGGACCTACCTGGCAGCCCAGCTGTTCTGTCCCAGGCTCGAGATTCAGCCACTGTTGAAACTGATCAGTGGCTGACTCCAGGAAGCTGGGGGCAGAGCCTGTATTTCCAGTGGAGGCGATGTTCAAAGGATCCCACCCACAGGCTGCATGTTGAGCCCCATGTAAACCCAAACCAGACTCGCAGGCCACAAACAAACAGGCCGAGCGCTGCATGCAGCCCATGGGCCACATGTTGAGTAGCCCTGAATTATGGCATATAACCTATCACTTAAATTAGCCTCTGTAATAGATGACTGTAGAACAGCTAATGCAATGTCAATTTTAAAAAGGCTCCTAGTAAATATAGGCGAGTAAGCCTAACTTCAGTACTAAGCAAACGGCTGAAACTACAGTAAAGAACAGAATTATCAGAAACATTTTGATTAACCTGATTCTTGGGGAAGATTCATCATAGCATTTGAAAAAGAAAATCATGCCTCACCAATCTATTAGAATTCTTTGAGAGTGTCACCAAGTGTGTTGACACGAGTGATCCAATTGATATCGTGTACTTGGAATTTCAGAATGCCTTTATCTAGGTCCCAAACCTTAAGTTCATAATCTTAAACTGAAGCTCCCAAAGGCTTTTAAGGAAAACTAGCTGTCATGGGATAAAAGGAAAAGTCCCCTCTTGAATCAGTAACTGGTTAGATACAGGAAACAAAACATAGGAATAAAGGGTCTGTTTCCACAACGGAGAGGGGTAAATAGTGGGATATCTAAAAGATCTGTATAGGAACCTGTGCTGTTCAACATACTCATAAATGATCTGGAAAAAAGGATAAGCAGTGAGGGGGTACAATTTGAAGACAATTCAAAATTTCTCACACGGTTAAGCCCTAAGCAGACTGCAAAAAGTTACAAGGGATCTTATTAACTTGAGTTATTGGGACACAAAATGGTAGATTAAAATTTAATGTGGATAAGTATGAACTTATGCACATTGGAAAACACTCAGTTCTGCAAACAAAATGATAGGGTTTCCACTTAAGAAAGATCTTGATAGTTTTTTGAAAACATCTGCTCAACAAGCAGTAGCAGTTAAAAAAACCCAGAACATTAGGAAGCATGAGAGGAGGGAAAGATATGAAGACAGAAAAGAGGAGGCTACCTGTAACAGGTTCTTTGAGCTGTGTGATCCCTCTCTGTATTACACTGAGGTTTTATACAGGCACACTATGGGTCTGGAGTGAAGAATTAGAAAGTGGTGTCCACTGAACTGCACATGTGCCCTGACTCACCTTGTGGTTTTGTCTGAAGAGATAAAGGGTAGAGCAGACTGACTGCATCTCCAGTTCTTTCTCCACTGCAAATCCCGTAGATCAGTGGCAGAGAAGAAGGAGAGCAGGAAGTATAATACAAATAGGAGCCAAACATCTCAACGAACCTCCAGTTACAGGTTTTTAAACTGCTCATCTTCTTCAAGTGATGGTCCTTATTGTATTCCATTGAGGGTAACTAACACAAGATACTAAAGTCATAGGAGGATGTGAAGATGCAGATGGAAGAGATAAATGGAAGACAGCCATGCCCTGAAGGAGACATCCCTCACCAAATACTTCACCAAGGCACAACGAACAGCAAAAACGTACATTTAACTCCACATGGCTGCTCTACATATTTCCTGAAGTAGCACATTGTGGACGGAGGCCATGATTGAAGCCTGGGCTATTGCAGAATGGGCTCACAGCCTAAGGGTGGTGAAAGGCCAGATAATTGATATCAGAGCACAATGCACCCCAAAATCCACTTGTAGATTAGTGGCATAGACACTGCCTGCCAGCATCAGGCTACAGGCGGCATTTCAAAGCAGAAGTAGCGCATGGAGCCTGGGGTCAAGCTGGGGACTCTAACCCTCCACCCGACCCCAGGATCCATGTGGCATTGACACTTTGACAATGTTGCGTGCAGTCCGAGTTCCCAGCTGGCCTCGGGGTTGCATGTGGCATTTCAAAGTGGCAGCACCACATGGAGCCCAGGGTCTGGCCCCAGACTTCACGTGGCACTGTCACTTTGAAGCACCCCTTCTACTCCCCTTCCTTGTTGCCTATTTCTGATAGAGGCAGCGGGG